TGAATGGGCGGGTCAGATTGAGCGCGAGGGTGGTGGGAGGAATCCGTATCGGAGGTTGGAGGAACGGTATGGGTTTTGGGATGTTAGGGTGAGTTTATTCCTCCCTTCCCTTCCCTTCCCTTCTTGCAGATGTAGAGGATTGGGGATATTGGAGGCGTGTCTGGGATATGGGACTTATGCTGATGTGTGGGGGTTTCTAGGCGAAGAGAAAGGAGTTTGCGGATTGGATGAAGGGGGAGGTTCCTGTTCCTGATAAGGAATGAGTTGAGGGGATTGATTGGTTTTGTGAGGTATTAGGATGGGATGGGCTGGGATCGGTGTGGTGTGGTGTTGGGTATCATTTGGTTTGTATCATATATGTACGCTTGACTGATTGATGGGATTTCGTATGAAAAGATATTTGATTGATATGGTTGCTTATGATGGTTTGTCTTGGTTTGTTTGTAATGCATTGGGTGTTGGTGGGTTCGAAGGACTTGATATCAAGCCGTGTGCTTGTTCGGTTTGGTGATCTACTGGTATGGATGGGGTATATCAGGATGGTAAAAAGGGCGAGCGTGGTATAGTCACTGAAGCATCAATGGTTTGATTGAATCGAATTGTCGTAGAGCAGCGTCGGAAAGTAGTGGGAGCAGATAAGATGCTGACTTGAACAGAGACTTAGTGGGGTAGGTGTATGCCTACACAATGCCTACCACTCACACACCAGACTTGACTGTGACTACAAATGCCTCAACCTCTACAGTCCTACCTACCTGCAGATATACGCCATGGACAAGAAAGTGGGATAGTCCGGAACCGCCCACACAACGCCCAATACCCACCTGCAACGCGTATACCACCATCGCATCCATCACTGACATCCAACATATCCAACCCTGCCATGGAGAATTCTTCCGTAAGATTGTTAACGTTCTTCGCGCCCCAAGTTTCCGCGGGCCATTATCCGTCATGTTAATTGGAATGTTTGACCGGCCGGCGAATGCTTCGGTCTAGCCCCGGAGCCCAACAGAAGTGAGTGGGTGTGATGGATGGAGTGCCAATCATGAATGCATTCATTCTTGAATGAGCTTGCGCTGCGCTGCACGGCACGGGATAGTGGCATGTAAGTAAAAGTGTGTGTGTGAAGTAGTCGTGTACGAGAGGACGCGTCCACTCATTGATATTGTCACCAACATCGTCATCTATTGAGCGTTTTCAATGATGGGTTCGGGAAATTATGTCCGGAGTTGGATATTGTAGACTTTAGGTTCCCCCCCTTCCCATTTCAATAGGAGTTTGCGCGGGATGACGCGGCCGGACAATGGGGGAGGGTGCTCGGTGTAGACACAGTTGACAGATGATGCTATGTTAACGTTGCTTGCTGGTAGGGTAAGTGGTTAGTTGTGCAGTCTGGGATAATCGGACACAGCAGGTATTGAGTGAAAGCAGGAAGTTGTCTTCAAACTCGTGGCAGGTGTCATCGGCCTTCACTTTCTTAGTTTGTCCATCCGGGTTAGTCCTGCAGGTGACAAGAGACAGGCCACGCAAGATTCAGTAGATCATTGAATTGTTAGTGAGCGAATGATATTCCACATGCATTTTATAGTGTGGTTGATCATCCATCGCAGTGGTATGCTCATCATGATAAATCCGGAAAGTGGTTGAGGCAATTCGAACCCCTCTTGCCTGACACATCCCAGTTCTCAATTTTGGACTTTCCATTCGGTTCTATTTAAGGTGCTGTGCCGCAAACCCTCAGCCCGTCTCGGCTTATATCAGCTAACTGAGTCGTCCAAGACGGGAGGTCAAGAACATGTCCAATAGGGGGAATTTACTTGAATTAGCAGTTCGTAAACGAGGAAGGAGATGGTGGGGTAAGTTGATGGGTTGATTAGTTGGGAAGGAAGAGAAACAAGCGCATGTCTAAAGCAAGACACGGACAACACAACGGCACACAGGTTAGGCCTTCTGACTGGTTTGAATGTAAGACATATCACGGTGACATGGAGGGTAAACGTAAGTGGTCCTCTGAAGCGATTCAATTTGTTTAGGTACGGTCAATATCCAATAGTGATTAGTGAGGCATTATCCAATGGACATGGAAATAATAACGGGCATGGAGATGATGGATGCTCCAAGTGGGTATGAATACGAAGTTCTATTAGTGGTAGGTATCTATAGGTGCAAGTATGAGGATGACAAGTCCTTTTCTAAGTACTTCCGTAGCATTTTACTGTGCTCAATCTAGGTCTAGTTAGTCTAAAGAAGACGGGGGAATTGGTGGGCAATAATAGTCAATAATGAGGAAAAGCAACGTAACCCAACCACCGCTACCAGCCTTACCCCGTAACCCCGAGAACGATAGGTCTTTTTTCTTTTGTTTCTTCCTTCCCCCTGTCTTCACGGGGGTAAAAACAGGCAATTTTAGCGACCACAAAGAAAATAAAACTCCGGACCATGGACCCTGTTATGTAACGTGTATGTGAGTTTTCACCGAAAGGACATCTCAGTTCAAAGGCTGGCGCCATCTACTACTTATTGATTGATTTCTCATTATAAATTAGTAGCAGTATTTATTCAATGCTCAAATTGGGTGGCGCCCCCACCAATTGGAGTGGAGGGTCTCAATCTCGACCGAATTAACGGGGGAAAATGGAGATGGCGTCCGAGGGTTGAGATTGAGACAAGGGCGGGATGGAGAGAGGGGCGGTTGAGCATTGGCAGGGTTAGAGAGAATTCTTAGCCTCGCCTAGATACTACGGGGATGTTTTCCATCTTTTAACCCTTGTGCCCTGCCATGCGTCATGTTCATCCCTGGAAGAGGGAGGGAGGTAGAGTTCAGTCAAGTATGAATTCAGTGTGTTCATTACTGCCTAGTTGATAGGTATGGAGTACGTGTGAGAGGCCCTACTGTATTTCCCTTGCATCACGCGGGTGGTAATTAAGTAAAATGTCCGTATCCGACCCTCTTGGAGGCCGGATATTTGAGACCCCTGATACCGCTGTACCTTACGGTAGACTGGTCTGGCCTATTGCCATGTCTTAAATGGAGGAGGGCCGGGGAAAAAGTTAGTATGAGAGAAGAAAAGCAAAAGAAGAAAGAAAATAAATTAATAAAGAAAAGGATTGATCGACACTTCCCAAGTCCATGCACACCTCGCATCGGTTGCATACGTACGCTTTGCTCATGTAGGAACAAGACCAGACAGCAAGTGTGCTCTTGGCATCTTGCAGGTCAACTCTACTATTTACTAACTAGTTCTGTCCTTCTCTTATTTATGGTTGATGTTAATTATTTTCCCGGATCGGCTCTACTTCGGAAGAAGACCGAGAATGAAAGGTGCGTAGAAGTTCTTGTGAGCCATGCAGGGGCCGAATCACGTTCTATTGTGCGGTGGTGCCGAAGGGCTCGTCATGATCTTACGTCAGGTATCGATTGTGAGGGCTGGGATGGATGGATGATGCGTCTTTAGGTGGTTTGTTACGTGGACAAGCAGGATGTGGCAGTAAATGAGGCTTGCTATCTGTTAAGCATTGCCGTTGCTACAGTATCTTCCATATCACCAGCTTGTCTGTCGGTCGAACCCGTCAGTTGTTGTTCTTCTTGGGAGTGGCGTGCCTGACGGCTATGAAAGGCTAGACTGGTCGGATGTACTGCCTCGTATGACAAGCTTTGAATGCGTGGCTGGGAAAGACAAGACAAGATAGGACAAGGCATTCATGCGGTGGCAGGCATGCTTCGTACGTTAGGACTTGAATAATCTCTTTTGCCTTTTTTACTTCTGCAATTTGCCAATTTGGCTGGTCCATGCGGGCCGGTGGTGCGCATACCACAGCGGCCCTAAGGATGGGTGACTCCGGTAATCTTAAGATTTAGTGGGAAGGGTGAAGGCCCGCCCCTTCAGTGGTGCTCTGACTGTCCAACGTCTATTTTTCTCTGTAGTTCTGATTGACGTTTTAGTTGACTAGATATTTTGTACCACTTGCTCCCTTAAGTCTAGGCTTGAAACCTTCAAAAAACAAGGTTTAAATGAGTATCATGCCCAGGAGATATCCCTTAATAGTAATTTGATCAGTGATCCAATCAAACTCAAAACAGATGTAACAAGAGAGACAACAACAACAACAACAACAACAACAAACAGATTGAGAGACTGGGCTTTTCAAATTTTCTTTGCTTATTCTCCCACCCCATCATTAATTGCTTCCATTCCCACTTCGGTCAAGGGCGAGATTTGAACCCAGGTTGCATTCACATTATTCGAACCAACCGCGGTGGCTCCAGGCGTGTAGATCTATAGGACACGACCATCATTGGGCGGGGCGCCCGCAGCAGGAGTGGATCACGGCAGCTGACGCTGTGTTCCGATGGCCTCCCCAAAAATAGCAAAACAGAGCAGAGGTATACGCAACCCTCTTGCAGAGGAGGCCATTCAGAATGCTGACTAACTGGACTAGTGGCCCGTCTTGGGGCACTTGAGTTGCGCCATCTGATGATTGTTTACTCTCCAGTACGCCTTGGCATTGGTCTTTCCAGCATCGTCCTGCACGCTCGATGCTGGCTCGTCCCGCCCTCTCAGCCACGGGCAGCGACTCAGACTCATCCAGAAAATGCGAGACGCGGACCGAGCTGCTGATGCTGCCCTTCGCCCGGTGGGTCCCTTTTCCCTCCATTGCCACTAGGAGTGTAGAGTGTAGACGAGGAGGTTGTGAAAGGTGTGCAGACAGGGCTGATGGAGATTGCTGAGGGATGAATGGCACCTGTTGTGTGCTGCAATTGCTTTTGGTCTCATTTCATTTCCTTTTTTTTAATTCCTAATTTATTATTCTTTTTTGGGGCTCGAATTCCCTCTTTCCACTCCCCCTGCTTTACTCTATTTAAAGGATGCCCCTGCGCCTGTCAACCACTGCGTCCCTTTCCCTTCTTACTCAAGTGATATAAAGTATCCCCCACGGTCGTTCCACGAACCTCAACAACTTTCGCTTCGCCTCTTCACTTCAAAGACACTCGCTAGTCTATCGATCACCCTTCGCACGATCCACTTCAATCTACAACCCGAGCACCCAGATCTCGATATCACTCGCTAGCAAGATGCGTTCTTCCATCCTCCTCGTCGCTTTCTCGGCTCTCGCCGCTGCTCAGTCCTCCGTCGCTGTGGTAAGAAGCTCCCTAGTCATATACTAATCTTATGCTTGAGCGATTGCTAACATACAACCACAGCCCCAGGGTCAGCCCTCCGCTGCTGTCACCTCTTCCCCTGTCATTCCGACTCAGGGCTCTCTGCCCGCTGGTGCTTCCAGCGCTCTTATTGGATCTAGCGGTGTTCCCTCTTCCTTCCTGAAGTCGGCCAGCGCCTCTGCTTCTACTTCCACCAAGACCTCCACCAAGACCTCCAGCTCCGACTCTTCCACCTCCACCAGCGACTCTTCCTCCAAGAGCGGCTCCAGCTCCAGCTCCAGCACCTCTTCCGGCGCTGGTGTTCCTCTCGCCACCGCTGGCCCCGTCGGTCTTTCCGTCGTGGCTGGTGCTGCCCTTGCCGCTTTTCTGTAGATGAAGAGCGCAAGTGGTCTTCTTTGCCTTTAGAGGGAGTCGAGTCTCGACCGTCACACACACTCCACTCTGGTGGGGTACAGCAGATACCCATGGCGATCGAACCTTCCATCCATTCTAAGCCGCAAGGGACAGGCGCTATGAAATCAAAGGGGATGGATGTTCTGCGGTTTTCTTTCTTCTGACATATGTAACATTGCTGGGAAGGCTTTTATTTCTTTGGATCTTCTTTTCAAAGGTTCACCGCGTGTTCACCAGAGATTCATAACTGCGGCGCACATAAGATTTCATTTCTCTAGTAATTTTTAATCGTTTAATGAGGACATGGTAAATACACACATTACACAGGGATTTTCTGGAATGCCGAGACCGCCCCTTTCATTTTAGATCCAACCATTTGTAAGACTGGAGTAGTGAGAGCTTAATTCGAAGGGGTTAAAAGCAACTGACTAGAGACCTTAACTTTGATTCCATCCCAAGTCAGTTGTGGGACCTACCGTTCATGGCATGGGCTTGAGCCTATCCACAACCCCAGATCTCATACAAGTCTTGCGCCACCCTGAAAGAGACTAATCAAAATTGTAGTTTCGAAACCAACCGTTATAGAGGCTCTTAAACGGCCGCGTTTCCAAGTTGTAGTTGACTCTCACGTGCTTTGTCGTACTATTCTGCACCCGCCAAGCATTCATTCTATAGTCACTTCTTGTCCTGACTGATGTTTGACTCCAGCGACCTCTAGTCTGCTATAACAGACCAACATTACCTCACGAGGTGAACTCTCAGACGTCTTAAAGACTACCAATATCGCAAGGTATAGATTTACGCCACTCAGGCTACCGCATGCCACCAGTTCCTTGCTGCCTTATTATCCATGCCATCAAAATAGCAGTAGTCTACTTTCACCTGCTGTGTGCGTTCCGTTGATTGTCTGATACTGGTGTGATTGTTGTTTCTGTTACTGGTCCATTGCCCGACCATGTATTACAGAACGAATGCGAAGGTTCCTGAGGATGATCTCAATCTGCAAGTGGTGTCTCTTCATTTTACTTTCACTCAACGCGGAGTCAGATTATGGATGTCTGCTAAAGATAGCAAGGTGCTGCTTGCTTGTCTAGTATGCCCAAGGACACCGAGCTACTATCGCAATGTACTGAGGAGTGAACATTGTTCTACTAGTGGGTGGGCATAAGATCTGGATATATGCAAAGCTGTAGTGGTAAAGCTCTAGATACGTTGCGAGTAACTATCTCGAGACTTGTCCATACATACAAATGCCCCCGGATGGTGCGAAGGATGCCATGAGTAGAGGATTCACGTGGGGACAATCCATACGTCGGAAACAGACTTGAAAATAGAGATCCTTTAAAAGTCTTTATCATTAGGACTATGTCTCGTAAAAGCATATTGAAGCTCATGCGACATATTGTCAAAGAAGGACCACCGCGTTCTAAAGACCCTCGACCTTTAGCACGAGCTTAGTTGCGCCAAGGCAATACTTAGTTACCATAACACTGCCAAAGGCCGGATGGACTAGTTGGCAAGGCCACGGTACTCAATAAAGGAAAGCTACCTTTTTTGCCCAGTAGGCCGGGTTCGATCCCGACTTGGCCGCCTCCCTTTTTCCTTTGTTTCATTCAGGTGCAGCTACCTAGCCATGATAGTCTTGGTTCGCTCTAAAGAGGATCAACAGTGAACAGGACTAGATCGTACGTTTGGCACGGCTCCAACAAGAGTAGCTAGCTTTTTTGCCCCTAGCTTTGGGATGAAAACCGATCCTGCGCTCTTCCTTTTGTCTGTTACCTTGTTGGGCCAGATCCGTCCGTTGCCTTCACCCAACAGATAGGCTACAGTGGCAGTTTCCATCTGCTAAACACGCTGCTCGAATTTGCTGCTCTTTCTCGATGCTCCAGGTAGTAAAGTAGTTAGTTAACTATAGTTAACTCCTAAGTAACTTATGGGGTGTCATGCCGTAAGCAGCTCATTACATTTCCTAAAACGCGCAGTTCAGACGCGAATACACGTGACTGATCCACGCGTGCTGTTTCCTTACCCGATGTGGACTAGTGAACAGCGCTTCACCTCATCAAAACAAAGAACAACAAGCGGCCGTCGGGGGCAACGGATCGGGACCGAGCCATCATCATCCACCTCGCTGCGAATCAACTCTCGCCTTGCCCGGCTCTCACGGTCCACAAAGGGATTCTCGTCTGTGTCACTCGCCTAGATCGACAGGGGCAGCTGGACGAACAGACCACGGCTCAACCATTGATCCCACACGAACCTAGCCTCTGCTAGCAACGCAATACCTTCGGCCTCAAATTTGAGGTCGACGTCAACTAGCCAGTATGGTAAGTTACCTTGCTGTCCAATGCCAATCAACCTTTCCTCCGTTGAGCGACGATCTTCTGACATCCTCGTGCTTTCCCTTCAGGTATCATCTCTACGACGTCTCGCAGCGGACCATGCAGCGTTGCACGAAGAACTCCCTCCCAACTATCTCTTTCCCTCCGACGATGCCTCCGCCGGGGACGACTTGACACAGCTCACCACCCTCCTGGCCGGGCCACAGGGTACACCATACTCGCAGGGTCTATGGCGATTGCATCTGAAGATGCCAGAGGACTACCCTAAGAGTCCACCAAAGGCCACATTCAGGACAAGGATATGGCATCCAAATGTTGAGGAATCGACGGGTGCGGTCTGTGTGGATACACTGAAGCGGGACTGGAAGCCCAATTTGACTCTGAAGGATGTTTTGATCGTATGTATCCTTATCATATACCGTCGACAATTCCCGATCCTCATCTGACATGATTCTTAGACAATCTCCTGCCTCCTCATATATCCCAACCCAGACTCCGCACTGAACTCCGCAGCCGGCGCACTTCTCCAAGAGAATTACGATGCGTTCGCCCGCCAAGCGAAACTCATGACCTCCATCCACGCCCCAGTTCCATCAGACTTGGCTTCAGCTGTATCCGAGGCGAGAACGAGAGGTGAAGACGCCGACACAGTCATCCCAGAAGAGCAAGAATTGTCCCGCTCGCTACGACCACGAAAGGGTGCCAGAATCGCCTCAGTCACTATGAAAAAGCGAACAACTCGGAGGAGTGCCGCAGAGAGCTCGAGCTCACGGGCGCTATCTCATCAACCTAGCACACCAATTGAACGAGAAGCACAAGAACCAGAAGAACCTCACGACACCCTCACCCTTGATACAACCGTCTCCGACAGTGAATCAGAAACATCTACCAACGCCAGCAAAGAGAACGACCCTTCCCTATCTCCTTCTCCAGTCCGACTCGCACCACCTAGCATCCGCAAGAACGCTTTCGGGAAACGTCCCCTTTCCGTCCTAACCGTGCCAATGGACGTAGACGACCCCTTCTCCATGGACACAGAAGACACAACAACAGGCGGTATGTCCGCATCCGAGAAGAACATTGCAGCAAATCATCCTAGCGATCTCCCGGAGCGCGGCCACTCTCCACAGAGAAAGTCCCCGAAGCTGTCCGTACTCGACAAAGGCATCAACTCATCAGGTCGGATACGCGAAGATGTCCAGATCTTCGAAGACGATCCCGACCCTGCCGAGCTAGGCTTCATCCGACGAGCCAGCGGCGACGGCAAGGAAAATCCCCGAGCCTTAGCCGGTCTAAAAGATACCGACCCCGCAATCCGGATGTCTAATCCAAACTATCCCCTCACGATTCTTGCCCCCTCGGCATCGAGATCCGTCTCCTCCGGCTCGCGCCTATCAAAACCAATCACGGGGTCACGAAAAGTCTCATCCTCGAACGGCAAAAAAGCCAAACCGCGCATCGGCATTCGCAGACTCTAGGCATACTAATAACCACTACTACTTATACCCACGCCTGTATCTTCTCAATACCCTCATTCTATCCCTTCTGCTACCATACCACTTACATCACTATCGCTCTTAATACCCAATCGAACATAGCCGCAACCACTTATGAACACAAATACTACATGCATTACATTGTGAATGAACTTCTTCCAAGACAGCCTTCAGCGTCATCACGTGCAACAAAAAAAAAATAAACCCCGACAAAGGAAATGGATACCTCCTTCTATATCACATTGATTACTCCATTACCAGGCATAGCCTGTCCCCGTTTTGCATATCCCCACGGCGTGTACCGTACACTTGCTTCTTTCCTGCTTCCATAGCCATTGGCATAGGCATAACCTTACATAGCGTGTTCATACTCCATACACAAAGACCAACGATCATGCATTGGATGGATCAGTACAATACAAAAACGTTGCTACTTTCCTTTCTTTCATTCGATTTTTCACCTGCTAAGATACTAGGCATGACTGGATAGCTCATGAGAAAAAAAAATAGGAAATTGAATAGAACAGAAGATCTTGTTATCAACCTTCACGACTAAAATTTTATGAGTTATGTTTTGGGTAGTACCTGGTAGTATGCTTGCTGAACAATAATCCTGTGGTACTCCAATGGTCATCCTGATCTCTACTCATGTAAGTATATAAGGATTCGGTCAGCTCATGGATCTCCGTGGCACACGGTTGCTACTTCGTATGCTATTGTTCACTATTAGAGGCCGATAGGACTTAGTGGCACGCTCCGCGTTAGGCACCCTATCAATAGGAGCGACACTAGCTATGTGGATCAACTATGATGCTAAGGGCAATGTGTATGGTGATCACATGTTTAGTTGGATTACATTGTAACACCTACTGGCCTGTGCCAAAAATCATCGAACAACTTAGTAATAATGAGCTATGCAAATATCTAGGATGAATAGACAAATTTTCCGAGGCAGCCCTCGCATCCGACTTCCCCTCAGTGCAATCGATAAAGCCACACCTCGTCTCATTCCACTCCCGGGTCTCCTCGTCTTCTCCGCCCCCCAAATGGCTCGTGCCTAAATCCGAAAGCCTTGCTAGAAGACCGGTATACTCAACAATTGGTTATCTGGAGCTCTTCCTCCATGAGGCCATATCGCGGGACTAATTTGAAATCAACTCGGAACAAGAGATCCACCGTTTGGCTTGTAAGGCCTCCAGCAATTATAAGATAAAAATGACAACACGCTAAGTCGATTAAAGCATAATACTGCAGAGGAATGAGAGGTTGGCGGCTATGCAAGGGTAAACCAGTTCAGGCGACGCTGATAGAATCGAGCCGCGGGGTCACACCATCACACAACCACCCTGATGGTCCACCAAGCAAAGACCAAAATCTGTTTCGCAAACGTATAGAACACATCCGGAGAAGTGAATATTTCTGGCCCATCTACAATGCGTAGGGGTTGACAGAACGAATAGTGAGGCATCTGCAGGCACACGTTAGCTTTCAGCACGAACCATCATGAATCGCAACAAAAACGAAGACAGCACTTACGGGGGACTCTTGCTCAAGTCAGTCTTCAGGATGATAGGGACACGGGTCATCTCGGTGACATCCTGGATGTATTCTCCGTCTTCTTCCCTGAGCTTGAACAGCCGCAGGTATTTCTCTTTGTTTGTCAGCTTAGCTTCAGGAGCATCGCCACCGAGGGTTGCGATCTTCGGGTCAGAACGCGTGCGGTGAGGCGCCTGCTGGAGATGACCATTGCGAGTGGGCGAAGGCGGCATGCTCTGGGTTGAACGGTCAGCGGACGAATTCAATGACACGCCCGCAGCCATCTCGGTGACTTCAGAAACATCGTCGTCATCGTCGTCGAACAGAGCATTGACATCATCATGGGACATGGTGCCGGTATCCGTCTGTCTCCGCATAGCTTCTTCGCGCTCCCGGGCACGTTCTCTGGCAGCTTCTGCTTCACGTGCTGCAGCTGCAGCTTGAGCCGCACGGGAGTTCGCAGGCTTCGGCCGCTCATCCTCAGGGACATAAGCCGAGGACGGCACGCCCTTCTCCCAGTAGAGTTCCAGCACACGCGTGTCCTTGCGATACTCAGCCTTCTTCAAGGGCAGTTGATCACAGTGGACCCTCTTTTCGAAGCCATACTCTGGGATTAGAACGTCGAAGGCGGACTCGTATACACAGATCACAATACCCTCGCTGATGAGGTCACCACCGACTTCCTGTCGCTCCTTGTCCATGCTTCTGCATGCTTCGATGTGAACGCTCTGTTCTTGAGCATTGTGAGCGGAATCCTTCTTGTTGTTGCAGAGGTCGGCAGTCTTGGTCAATGACTCCAAGTCATCAGAGAATTCAATCGCACCATCAGACAGGACGGCTTCCAGCTGGCGATGAACGACGATATCTGCGTAGCGGCGGAAAGGATTGGTGAAATGTGTGTACACGGGCAGGTTCAGAGTGTAATGTTGACGCTGATCATCCTGCACACTGCTGGCCACATAGTACTTCGCACGTTGCATAGCCTTGTGCAGAATAGTCTCCATACCCTGCAATCATTGTTAGTAGACCGGACAATAGCTCTTTCTAATATGACCACGAAACTCACCTTACGCAAGTCATCATCTTGGACTTGGCAGAGACTGCTCTGCAAAGTTCCACTGCTGGTCGAATCCAGACCATAGCCGAGCCTGTTCATTCGCTCAACAAAGAGGTGGAGACGGCGAGCATTTGGCGACATCTGGCGACGCAGGAAGGCCTTGTCGGGCAAAGCAGTGACCAACTTGCGTGCCACAAGGAAGTTGGCCTTGTAGCTAAGCTCTTCCACAAGTTCCCGGACAGGGGAAGAGTGGAAGATGTTGTGCTCAACGGGCACATTTTCGTCATCCAGCTGATACAGCAGACGAAGAGGAGGAATACGAGAGACCCGGTTACCGAGCCTTGCCTCCCTGAATTTTGACGTGACAGCGTACAATGCTCTGAGAGTGTCGGCAGTGATGCCAGGGACAGCGAGAGCAGACGTGCCCTGGATCGCGGCATCGACCTCATCATAGCTGAGTCGACCAGAGCTCTTGATGATCGCCTTGCCGATCCAGACATCATCGTCGATAGCACCGGTCTCGGGGTTAGCTTTGAACACAACGCTAACCGTGAAGCGGTCTTCGCCGGGCAGCAAAGCGCAAAGCTCATTGGAGACACGAGTGGGTAGCATGTTCACGAGGCGGTTCATGAGATAGACAGCAGTTCCCCGCTTCTTGGCCTCGCGGTCAACCAGGGAGTTGGCTTTGACAAAGTGAGCAATGTCTGTAACGTGAACACCAACTTCCACCTTTCCATCGGCGAGAGGCTTGATATGGAAGGCATTGTCAAGTTCCTTGGTACCGCTAGGGTTGACGGTGAAAGTAGTTTCCTGACGGAAATCGCGACGAGTGGCTAGGACAGCGTCGTTCTCATTGGAAACAGACCAGTCATCCCATCCAATACTCTTGAGCACGGCATCAGAGAACTCATCAGAACCGAAGTTGTTGTCCCGAAGAAGAGCTTCAGTCTCCACCTTCAGATCGCCCATCTCTCCAAGCTGCTCGACTAGAGTACCAAAGGGATGCAGGGAAGTGATCGGCCACCGCTTAATGCATGCAACGAAGATGCGGTTGGCGTACTCTTGGTGCTTCTCAACGAAATCCCGAGGAGCCTGCTCTGTTGGGATAGCAATCAAGGGAACACGCTTATCAGTAGGCTTGAACCACACGATCTTAGGCTTGTCCTGCTGGCGTTCCTGCTGCTGACGACCGTGGCCACCATCTCTGGCCAGCCGCTCGGCCTCCTGCTTCTCCTTCGTCGCCTGGCTACTGGGACGGAGGAGACCAAGTGTTCCCGAGAACATCTGCCCCGCAATGCGCTCGATAACAGCCACGATGTGGCCCGCATACAGTGGCTTCTGCTCGTCACTGATTTCGTCTTCTTCAACCAAGAGAAGGCTCTGACCTTCGACTTCGACATCGTCGTTCTTCTTCTGGGTGGGCCGCTGGCGGAGACTGCCACGGCGACGGATGCTACCATCCGGTCCAACCTCCTGACGGTCCCCGTTGGCGCCAGAGTCAGACCGAGACAGCTTGTCACCCCCAGCACTGCTGCCGGCACGAGCCTCGGTGATGTCTTTGCGCTTCTTCTTCTCCTCCTTTTCTTTCTTCTGCGACCAAACTTCGTCCACATCCAGCAGTTCAACGGCAACAAAGTCACCCTCAAGGGCACGGTTACGGTCTTTGCTACCACAAATGAAGATATCTGCGTCCAGGTCTGGAGTGGTTACGTAGGCATCGGAACGGTTCTTCTTGTTCACGCGAAGGATACCGGCGACCAATTGGCCATTGCTCAGCAGCGCAGGCAGGTTTGCCTGGGGCAAGTAAGGAGTGAAAAGGGTCTTGCGCTGCTGCTGCTGCTGTTGTTGCTGCTGCTGCTGGGCAGACAGCTGTGGCGGGGCATGTTGACTAGCCTGAAGACCAAGACCTTGGCCGTTCAGCTGTCCATTCTGCTGCAGGGCCTGAAGCTGCGCAAGCTGCAGAGGGTTAAGTTGCTGACCACCGCCGAACATCTGTGGTGGGGCCATGACCACCTGACCTTGGGGCAACTGAATGAGCTGGGGCTGTTGCGGGTACTGGAAAGATCCAATGGAGCCAATGGACTGGTTCATTGAAGCACGGGCACGGTGGCCAGGCTGGAAACCCCCGCTCTGTTGGCCGAAGCTCTTGGGCTGGTCCTGGCCCTGAGCTTGATTGTTGGGCTGCCGCCAGTTACCATCAAAGTTCCTGGACGAAGACCGTGCGTGACCGGGCTGGCTGCCACGACGTTGATTCTCGCCGTCGCTAGCTTGAGGGAATTGGAAGCCGCCAGCACCGCGACCAGACAAAGAACCACGGTTTCCACCAACAGCCATGGATTGACTGCGACCATGACCACCCGCCCGAATGTTACCGGCTCGGTGAAGGCCCAAGCCTTGTGGGGTCTGCGAGGTGGGAGTGGATTTATCGTCAGCGCCCGGGGTGGTATCAGAGTCGCCAGGGGTGCTGGGTGCGGGAAACTGGAAGCCGGAGGCCGTCCGCTTCTGCTGGGCCAATTCAGCGGCCTTTTTGGCTTCAGGAAGCGCAAGCGAGTGACGGCGCTGGTGGCCACCACCGGGAGGACCACCTCGTCCGCGCCCATGGCCTCCGTTCTCATTCTTGGGTTGGTGACCCTGTTGCTGCTGGCTGTAGTCGGTATAGCCCGAAGCTCCTGAGGACGGGGCGGGAGGGGGACCCATGCCGAGACCGGGCAGGGCAGACTGATTGCGCCGGTGCGAGTGTTGGGTTGAGGTGTTCATCGGCACGCCAAGCTGCTGTTGAGCGAGTTGTGGGAATTGGAATGCATTCAACTGAGGGGAGACGCCTCCCATGGAAGCGCCACCCTGAAGAGAAGGCGAGAATGCAGAAACCTGGCCTAGCTGTTGCGGTTGTAACAGACCCATATTGACGTACTGTTGATGTGTAGCTGCAATTTGCTGCTGTTGCTGTTGAAGAAGCTCAATCTGTTGCTGAATAGCGAGTTGCTCCACTGTATCCACCATCGTCAGTACATAATTCACCAAAACTATGTTACACGAGAACGGGGCTGGCAGTCACTTACTCATGAGAGGGGTCAATTCAGACGGACTTCTTCTGTGGGCGATATGGAGCTTGCGCCCCGCGGGGCCGGGAACCCCGGATTGACCCTGCTGATCCATCTTTTCAGACGTAAGATCGACGGGTATTAGGTATACGGGCAAGTGTATGGGATCAAAAAGGTCCGCTTCGGGGGTGATTAGAGAATGTTGGAAATGACGGAAGTCACACTCGTCGTGGGTTGCGATTTAGGGAGGCCGATCGGAGGCAGTCCGAAACAACGAGAGGTGAACTTGCAGTATACTGAAGGAGAACGATAGGTCAGTAAGGGTGAAACGGACAAAAAGTAAGCAGCGAGGGGTCGAGAACAAGAGGAGAAAATAAGAGGGGGGTTCAAGACATCGTGGGGGTGGCTACGGGAAGAAGAGCGGGAGGGGAATGTTGTGGGCAAGGGAAGCTGCGATTTACCCCATACAACAAAGTGACATCAACCAAGGTACAAAATGGAAGGACGCGAGGCAAATGGCGGGGAGGCATTAGGGAGAGTACCAGGATCAGGAAACCACGAAGATTGGGAATGGGAAGGTGTGTATCTTCAATTGCTCTTACCTCTTTTCTTCAAAAATAAACGATCGTCCAGCTCAGGAAGGGATCTGAAGATAATCTTTGTCGGATTTCTTTGGCACGGGAGAGGGAAAATACCCGTTTATATGGCGAAAGACAGCGGTGACCGAAGGTAGTCTCACAAAAATGGGGATGAGGGACCCCAAAGTCAAGGAAGCCAAAGCAATATATTCAAACAGAAAGCAAAATTGCGATGAATGGACACCGGAGGGAGGAACTGGCGACAGTCTCCGTGAGACAGCAGAGACCGAAAGAGAGGATGAAGCTCGACGAATCGGGGGGGGGGAAGCTGAGGTTTAGGAGGGAAGAGGGAGGGGGCAAGCACCGAGTACTAAGCGGATGGGAGCTGTCGGTCGTCCCCAACTGCCATTCGTCAAGCGACCACCAGCGGAGAATCCCCAAGCTTCAAGTCAAAAGGAGGGACCTTTTTTTCGATTCCCTTCTGCAATTTTTTTTCTGGGTAGAATTTCTCGACAGGTATAGACAGAACAATTTTTTTTGGATCGACTTTATTTGCAAATTTTCCAACGATGGGGTGGGCTTTTTTTGGCCAAAGTGGGATTTTGATGGTACGGAAGAGAACGGAGTCTCCTCAGTAGCAGAAAAGGGGGGGCAACTCAGTCCTGAATAGTAAAAAAAAAGGCTTATTGAGTTGGCGCTTAATTCTGAAAAAAACAGAGAGGAGAACACAATAATAGTTTCTCCCACCAGAGAATTACTGATACGATTCTCTTGAACGTGGTAGTTCCAAAAAGGACACACCAGGCAAAGCGATATCTGACAGAGAGAGAATGACAGATAAGCCAAGTGATTGAGACAAGGAGGCGTGATCGTCGACCTGAAGGAATGATCAGGAGCGACGAGAGGAAAGAGGGAGGGGGGAGAGAAAGATTAATTCCAAAGGAGAGGGATGGTGAAGAAAGAAGAAGAGATAAGGGAAGAGGGGAGGGGAAGGAAGAGAGAAGAAAGAGGATGAGGTGAAGGTAAAGAGGAAGAGGGAGTGGAGGGAGAGAGAGAGAGAGAGAGAGAGACAAGAGACAGAAGTTGAGTTAGTCTACTATTAGTAGCAGCAGCAGCAGTGAGAGTGGTGAGCAGCAGCAGCAGCAGTGCAGCAAGCATCCAGTAGTAACTCAGTAGCTTGTAGCAGGGTAATAATACTTACTCAGTCCCAGAAAAGTAAAATAAAAAACAATACCTAATATAACACTCACAATTAATAGGCCCAAAGCAAAATGGACATTCAGCCAATACGAAGCCAAGTACAACAATAATATAGCAGCAACCTACCTAGTAGTAAACTACTAACTAGAGATGTGGGGAGAGAAGCAGAAGAACATCAGGGAAAAAAACCGCACATAATTTCCAGACCGACTAGAATGAATGCCGCTTGGAAAATTATCCTCCCTGCTATTGCATCACTACAAGTACATGGTAATACCCAAAGCTGACTTGATCATTCAACATCGCCTATGAATGACACACTTTCCGCCCCAGGGGAGCTTCAAGGCAAAAAGCAATCCGAGGGAATGGTGCATTAAACTTGTCACTAAACCAAAGTTACCATACTTGGAGACCAACAGGGTCTGGCTCGGGGGAATTTCATTGCAGCTTGGCTCCCAAGCCTGGCAGTCCGACTGCAAGACCTTTTCAATAGGCTTTGTTTCGCATTTATCAATCCGACGCTTGGTCTCCAGACGTACGGAAGAAGCAACTGACCTGAATATGTCATGAGGTCTTTACCATATGAAGATCACCCCTCAATCTTTCGGCATTGTCAATGACGAACTGCGTGGTCAACGGCTGGCTGGAAGATCAACTCCGGAGAAGGGTAGAAGGCGGTAAGACGCCGTGGAGCTTCTCGACTAAGTAACTGGAGTACTTACTACCAACTTACTATCTTAGTGTACGATCGCTGTATGGAAACTTTCTGCTATGCGATACCCACCTGGCCTGCCTATTGGCGTTCGATGGCGACCTGCATGCTATTCTAAGTATGTCGTGGCTCCAAAAAGTCCATAGTCGATCGGGAAAGCAAGTGCACAACATCTACTATATGCAGGAAGCTGGCACTGGTGGCAATAAATCCTGAGAGAGTTGGTTCCTACTCCGTACAGTGCTGGAGATAGCAGTAGTAGACAGATACAAAGTGGCTCTGTTGGTGCAGGGTATGATACGTATGCAAATGGTATCGATACCCTCCTTGATGATGCGACCGGTCCAATAATGGCCCGCTATTGGATCCACGGCCGGCTTTTGGCGGGGCTCTTGTCGAGACCGTGTATCAAAGGGTTGGCCGAGGTGGGTGAAATGCTATTGGAGTGTGAGAGACATATTAATACGGAGGTGTTGAGAGCCAAGTTTAAGGAGAACTGACATGTCGGTCAGTGAATGGAAAATGAGAAGAAGAGCCAAGCGATGTCTCAGATACTCTTGTCCAAGCCTGTCCTGTAGGCAATGAGTGTTGGGTGATCATGAAAATGATGACGATGATGATGATGCAAAAGAAGAGGGCTGACCGGCCTCCAGGCTTTCCCCTCCGACCGAGGAACGGGTGACCGAGCGATCCATGTTTAGCTGGTCGGTTTGGTGCAGTAGCTGCCCCGTTGTACCGTAAATGTGGTACTTGTGTAAGCGCTGCTTCTGTTCGGCACTAGGGTGCCTAGTTGTTCAGGCCACAACAGTAGCTACAGCTATCCGAATGACTAAGCCCCGGCGGCCGTGTTCTTCCCGCAACACACGTTCGGGCTCCGTTTTGAAGATCGCATACCAGCCATCGTCTCCAGATAGGCTCCTCTTAGTCCAATCCCTCGCTGCCGCCTCCGACAGTTGCCTTTTCTGTTTGATCACACTCCCTAAGGTCTTTTCTATCCAGTTTGTGCTTCTCGGAGTCTGCGGGCTTACATTGCCGCCTTTATCCTACCTCTCTTCGACTGTTAGTGAGTCCGGACTTCCCATGCAACTATTTCCCTTGCGTGTGAAGCGCGGAATTGCTGAACTAGCCTTTTTTCGACCCTGCAGAGCCAGCACAGACAACGGTCATTCTACGTGACTCAAATTCGATTTACCTTTTTTCCCCTGCGACGGAATGCGACATTAGCTTGTCGCCAGCTACACACGTTACTAGCTCTCAATTGTATGCAAATAGGATATGGTTACATCCACTGCGACTCCCAACACCTTGTGAAGTCAACTCGCCGGCTTACATTGGCAAATATCTGTCGCATCACTCCGACTTGTTCAATGCGAGTTATGGTCAGTTGGAAGTGTTAACTTGCTTCTGAAGAATTGGCCAACGTCGGCGACAAAGACCGTCATCTTTTCAGCCCGAATACGTCACTCTTTTAGCTGCGACGATATCATCATTCTCTAAACGAATCTTTTTTGCCGAACAATCACGATGGGACACATGAGCTACCCCTCCCAGATGGATAGCCCCTCCAGGCAACTCGTCCTGGATTTAGCACGGGACCTTGAACAGCTCCGCGTGCACAACACCGAGTTGAAGAAGGTCAAAGCCTACGAACGCCGATCCTTTTATGAAAATCTTGACCGAATCGATAGCGAACTTGAGGCCCAGCACAATGCGGCCCTTGACAAAGCTGCCGCTCTGCATGATCGCGTACTGGTGGAGGCCGAGGAGACGTTGCGCGCACACCAGAGAGCGGTAGAGGAGGAGCTCCGTCGAAGAGAGGAGGAGGCACGGAAAGAAGCGGAACGCATAGAACGAGAGAAGGCAGAGAAACTACGGCGAGAGCAGGAGGAGGCTGCACGGCGTGAAGCTGAGCGCAGAGCAGCCGAGGAAGCAAAGAAAAAGGCGGAGGAAGAGGCGGAGAGGAAGAAGAAAGCGGCGCAGGAAGAAGAGGCGCGGAAAGAACGAGTACGATTAGAGGAAGAGAACCGCAAGCGTCAGGAGGAGACACGGAAGGCAGAACAGGAGGCCTCCCAACGCCAAGCGGAAGCCGCACAGAAGGCACAGGCGGAGCGACAGCGGCAGGTTGGAGGCGCCCGTCTTACGGACGAAGAAATCAAGATCCAGGCCCGCTACGTGGAATTACATCAACATCTTAAGAAATTCCGGCAATACTTGAAGAACGAAGCGAAAACAAATGCCGTTGTCAAGCAGAACATGGGCGATATGCGGCGAACGATCAAGAAATGTGTTGGTCAACTACGTGAAGGCAAGGGAGCTAACAAAACACAGGTAAGTGTCTTGCTTTGCTTCCGACGGATAGAAGAAGCCAGCTAGCTAATCTTGCTGGCTTCCATACAGCTTCAAGAGATTCGTACTACGCTGGAGAAAGCTGCCTCCATTGCTGAACCGTCGGTGGATGTTCGCCAGTTCATCGCTTTCCCGCCCGAGAATATTGCCAATTCCGATGACAACAAGGTGCCTGCCCTTTTAATCTACGCCTTGAACATCTTCTCCAAGTGCATGATTTCTTCCCTCATAACGGAGGCGTCCATCAACCTGGGCCATGCGGAGCCGGTCGGGATCGTCGCGGCCCAGATATTCTCCGCCGATGCCTTCATCTACAAGGGCTGCCACATGGTCGACATTCTATTGGCCAAGTACCGTGTCGTTTGCCCAGCGCTGTGGGGATTCCATGGCAGTGAGAAGACCGAGGGTGGCCGACGTGCCCTGGGTTGGTGGCGCGAAGGGCCGGACGGGCCGTACATCAGCGAACAGGCCCACGCCGACCGAATGACAGCTCTAGGTGCGGGTTATGCGGCCTTGACCCTGCGCAATTTTGGCAAAACCGCGCGCAAGAACCCTTTCCCCAACACCATGTTTTGGTATACCATGCATAAAATCCTGAATATCCCCCCGGCAGAGATCCAGGATACCCATGTTACCCTGCTTTCGGCTATGCTGAAATCGTCGGCCGAAAGAATTGTTGGTTTCTTCGGGCATATCGGACTGGCGCTGATGAGGAAGGCTATAGTCGAATTGCCCGAAAGCCTGCCCCGGCAGAGCATGAGTGTTAACCAACTCAAGCTCCTCAAGGATCTGTATAAACGAGAGAAGAACATTTTGCTGTGAGCTGGCGGTTCACCAAAAGGTCTATTTTGGGTTGCGTTAGGTCCAAATTTGCCTCCGGCCTTATTTCTTTTAGCAAGGATGGGTGGCTCCACACCAGCTGTCAGGCTTCCAAATGATAACAGGCTGTTCCCGCACATCACATTTCCGGCATGGTATGACAGGCTTCTGACGCCGACCGAAAATTTTCCGGTGTCATGAGCACAAGGCCTGATCCGGAGCCTAAGTAATGATGTTGATGACGCCTTTTACAGTGCTGGTGCCAGTAGGCAGTTGATGCCCACCGTGTCGAGTACCTTGTACTGCGCGGTAGAAGATCCTCTTTCTCCACTTAAAGCTTTGGGGATTTTAGGTCATTCCGCTCGGCGCATTTCACTACTATATTGTACATTATTTGTCACCGGCCCTACAGAAAGGGCTTTCTCTAGGTATACGAGAATTTAGCGGAAAGATTAGATGAATGGGACACAGGTGTCAACTCCAATTATCCGCGGGTTGAAGGGAAGTTGGAAAAGAAAAAAAGAGAGTCTGCGGATCAATCAGGATATCCATTTGGTGCAACCGGTACCTTTTTTGCGGTAGGACCACCGCCGAGAATCATCCGATGGAAGACCGGCATCACATCACGCCACTGATGCGATGCATCTAGGGCTACTCTCCGTCATTGCCGGCCCTTAAGGTTGTTCGAGAGCAAGGAATGTTCAGCATTCCATCTCGGTTTCCTGGCTCCGCTCGGCCCGTCTCAACCTATGGGGCTATTGCCGAGTCGATAATTGGCTTTTTCGCATGCCATCTCTTGACACATACGGTATACACCACCAGCACATCCACCATGACGCGCTAGTTTGCACCAGTAATTGCTTCTCTCGTCGACTGACATCTGTTGACGTTACACAAGAGCAGGCTGGTCATCCTCACAGGCCTGGATGCCGATCCACGCCATTCGGTATGACCGGCCCTGGGCCTGGTCTGCCAGGAGCTTGACTTATTGCCGCTCATTCTTCCGTATAAAACTGGCCTCCCACTAGCTTCCTAGCCATACTACATAGTCACCTATCTTCAGACATCCATCACCTGATAGACATGTGAGTTAGCTATACACAATGTCTGCAAAGATCTCAGTCATGCCTGCGAACCTCCCCACCGAGCTCATCCTCTGCATCCTCGATCATGTCGATAGCGAGACATACGTCGCTGCCCGCTCATCATGTTGCTCATGGCGGAAAGCAGCTTCAATGTCATCTGCCATCCGGAACGCACTGACCGAACTCCCCGTGCCTATCCCCCCACGTGCCGATTCTCTCACCAAAGAAGAATGGAACACATACTTCTGCCAAATCGCCTGTCTGAACCTACTAGGCCACCGGACCCACATCGACAAAATCTCCACCAGACGTGCCCTACCTGAAGACTGCACCCCGACCACAGTACTAGCAACATCTCAAGATGGTCAAAGAATGGCCACTCTGAAAGGCGCACGCGCCACACTCTTCACCCGTCCAAACAAACATTCTCCCTGGGAAAACTCCCAAGCCTCAACACTCTACCCCCTCTGGACCTCAGTATACCGAGCCTTGATGGACGGAGGCGGCGCAGGAAATTCCATGGCTCTCAACCCACGCTATGCCAAACACTGCATCGCCATCTCCTCCCAAGGCGACCTCCTCGCCGTCGGCCTAGGCAAGACCCTTCACATCTACAGCCTCTCAGGGAACGAAGATAACGGCATCTCCTCCCCAGCAGAATACACACTGGATCAGCACGACGTCATCTACGCAGCCTCCCCCAGCACAGGCTACGAAGAAACCGACGGAGTCATCGACTCCCTCGAATTCACCGACGACGCCACTCTCCTCCGCATCGCAATCCACCAAGACACAACAGCCTTCCAACCGAACCGCGTCCGCTACTTGGGTAATCCTTCCGTCCTCCAACACCATCATCAAACACAAACTCAAACTCCCCTCCAATACTGGCGCGAAAACATTCACCACATCCACGTCGACTCCGCCTCCATGGCCGTGACTCTAGGCGCAGGCGAAGAAAAGGTCGTCCTTCGAGGCTTGCGCCTTCTTGCTTCCTCCTACAAACCGAGCACAACAACGCCCCAACCCCCATTATCGCAGCCACCATCAACATCAACGCACTACTTCACCGCATCCCTCCAATCAGGCCCCACATCCGCCTACTGCATCGGCCACATCGCCATCTCCTCCTCCCCTCCCACCTCTCAACAAGTAACCATCACCCGTCTTCTCCCTTCCCGCCAACATCACCACCACACCTCGACCTCAGATCCAGCTACTGAGTCAAACACAACACCCCCATCCTCTCACAATGCTATAGCAACAACAGGAATCTCCCGCTGGAATCCCCTCAACCTCCCCACCGCATCCTCCAAATCCCCGATCCTCTCCATCTCCCCAGACAATAAGCTCCTAGCTATCTACGAACCGGACCCTTCCCCCAAGGAAGTAGGTAGGGGTGGGATATACATATACTGCATTGAGGAGTGTGGGTCTGTGTATACCAGCCACACTAAGACCAATGTTTCTTCTGCTATAATCACAGACCAACGGCAAGAGAAACAGCATTCTTCTATTTGTCTTCCATTAGAGGAGGGGAATAATATCCCGCCTTGGTCATTCTTGTTGGATAATGTATCTGTGGATGTGGATGAGTTGAGAGTTGATAAGGTCGTTGGTAATGGTGGTGGGTATTATGAGGTGATGGCGTTAGCGGGGAGGGATGTTTTGGAGTGGAGGATTCATTGATTACTTCTGTATATCTATCTATCTATCTACCGATTGATTACTACCTGTGGAGGGGAGAGTTTACTATTTTAAGAGGGTTAGAACTGGTGGGATTATGTATTATGCATGTATGCATGCATCTATGTATCTAAGAACAAGTTGTGTAATCTAAAGGATAGTAAATATGGAATCAAGAAAAAGATAAGCATATATACTATTAGACATGTCCAATTAAGAAGTGAATAGAATAAGAAGGGTATCTACATGATACACCGTTGACTAGAATAGTAGCCAACAGCAAGGGGGTTAAAAATGAATAAAGAATGATGATGTAAGTGAAGTAAGGGTCTGGGCCCTCCTGCAAATGGTGCATGCATCTATCTCCCAGAAGGGAGTCCACACACACAGACACCATTATGAACTTATAATAGAGCCTGCGGATGCATGCGAGGAACCACAAACGAGTGACACGTTGGAATTATTTAGACAGGAAATAAAAAAAATAAAATAGCAAAAAAATGCAGAAACTTGTGTACAGATTTGCGGCAAAAGTACATTTCAACAGGTGTGGTATCCAGTAGGACGCAGGAAGAATGGTGGTATGGTATATTAACGAAGGAAAGAATATCATAAATCCACTGCCGTTGAGCAAAAGTATGGGCAGGGGAAAAGTTCAATAAACTTGCTCAAACCAAACAATCAGCAAATGAACATGTCAACTGGCACGAAGTATGCACTATCAAAAGAGAGGTCGATGTAGGTAGAAGAGGGGGAAATGCATCATAATGTAACAGTATCAGTCGTCTCCGTATTGAGACAACCGATAATTCAAATGTCTATGGACATGAATGAGAAAATGGTGTATAGACAATTTATGCTTGTATTTGCGGTCCAAATGGCCCGTCTGCCGTGTCCCGAGGGGATTCCGAGACTAAACCGTCCGCTGTGCTTTCCGCGTCCTCTCCAAAGGAGTCGTGGGCATAATCAGCAGGCTCCGCATCGTGATCGTAACTTGACCTACGGAGCAACGGAGGCGTACTCGGCGGCTCTCGCATCCTGCTTCCACGAGCTGGAGCGGCCTTGGGCGTCGTGTCGTAATTCCTCAGAGGCCGACTCGCCGATGGACGCCTGGAACCCATCGTCGCGGAAGTACCAACGGCCTGGGGTGAAGCCTGTCGAACACTGGAGGCCGGAGGAGTCAAGAGGCCTGACAAGAAGGAGCTTGCATTTCCGGACTTCGACGGCGTCTGTTCGGAAACATGTGAATTGGAAGTATCTCTTCCCTTACGCCAGTTGCCCCATGCCGCTGCAGCTGCGAGAGGAAGATTCCGCGGCGACGCAGTCAACTCTGCCAAGGAGGAGAGGCTAGGAAAACTGTGTCCGGAATGGATTCTTTCTCTCTCCTGTTGCTGCATCTGCAAATTGGCCTTCAGACGGATAGCGGCATCGCGGACAGCATTGCGGTCGAAGGAAGGTTGCGACACAGTGGTGATGATGTCCTGGAGGTCATCAATGCGAACACCCAGGAGTTCACGCAGCCAATTGATTTCTGTGTCCTTGTCTTTGATCTTGTTTGGAGCGTCCTTGTCAACGGCAGCCACTTCTTGTTCCAGCTCTTCGATGCGAGTTTCACGCTGCTGCAACTGATCCTGAAGTACCAAGATTGACTCCCTCAAGGCTTGAGGCGAGATCTTCTCAGGCATGGTGGATCCCTCACGGAATGCCAATGAAGGCGAGTTCGAGTGCGCAGGTGCCATAGCAGGCGCTGCCTTGGCAGATTGAGCGGCCTCGGCAGCAGCACGGGCAGCGGACTGTGCAATTTCGAGCCTCTCCTCGAGATGATGAACCCGATCCTCCAAGTGCTTCACCTTGTCATCGGACAAAGCCAGGCGGTCGAGCAGATGGGATTCCGTGCGCTGTCGATCTTCAGAAGCATTGTGCAGCGCACGCGCGTGGCGTTCTCGAAGGTCATTGAGCATCCGTTCGTGCGTCTGCCGTTGTTCTTCCACCGCCAGTTCCTTAGCTTGGACAGCAGCAGCCAGATTGTTGGCCCTGGTTTCATTGGCTTCTTCCAACAGCATCTCGTAGCGCTCCCGGGCAGTGTCACTTTCCATTCTGACGTTGTCCATTTGACTCTGAAGGCGAAGGATTTGTGTTTCCAACTCAGCACGGACAATGTTAACCTGGCTGTTAGCAGCATCCAGATCCGACTCTAGCGAGTTCCTGGTACGTTGAATCTCAACGCGACTG